GCATCATGTGTTCTCGCGGAATCTACGACTATACCACGTGCATTTTTTCCAGTTACAGTATTATTATCTTTTATTATATAGAGTCATGTAGCATCACGTATCTCTAAAACGTGAACTAATATTGCAAAAATGGCAAAAAAATTGCAAAATTGCTTTGTTGGGCAATAAAGTGAATTATTATTATTATTATTACTAAATACTGCTGGCAGAAGACGAAATGCTGCAGACAGACTAGATACTGCTAATAGAAGATTGAATACTGCTTTTGCTACAAGGAACAATCAACAGGTACAGCAGATAGCAGTATTGCCCTCATCACAATCTCATAGGGTTTTGTGGTTATAAACAGTCCACAAATTGATTCGTACTTTTTCAAATTGGATATACATTATTTTAATGAGTTAGTATTAAAAACGTCCAAATCGATATGACTTCTGATAACTAATTTGATCACTTACTTGAATAGAAATAAAATGAAATGTTTTTTTCCGAAATAAATTTAACAGGTCTACTTTCGTAAACCGAACAAAGGAAGAACTCCGAAAAAGCGAAAATCCATCTCCATTCATCCTCGTTTTCTATTACTCTGACGAGCGTCCGCGACGTGGCGTACTATAAAAAAGGACGCGGATAGCCTTTTATTTGACATTTAGTGGCGATCTGCAGCGCCACGTTCGTTCTCGAGGTTGGTCGTTCCCGAAAAAAAAAACTTCCTCTTCGGTTCCGTTGTTGTCCTAGTTCTGTTGAAATTGTTTGGCTATTCTTTCTGATGACGTCGTCGCATTGTTGCACGTACCGCTTTCGCAATAACTTGCTAATTATTCGGTGCTGTCGTCGTCAGCGACGTCGTCGACGAGTTGCGGTGATTACCGGAGACGGCGATGTACTCGTTGGCAATTTGAGCGGTTCAGGTTGTCAGGCGGTGGGGAAATTCGCGTGGATACGAAAGAAACTTGGCGAATAAAAGCGGAGTAAATCGCTCTTTGTTGAAATATTCCCCGTACAGAGTGGTACAGAAACGGACTGGAACAATTTATTTTCGATCGGGTTTAAATTACTCAAACATTTCGTTTCATGCGATAAAACGAAATCACTTTTAGAAACAAATTAAGAAAGTGTATAAAATTTCTAAAAAATCGATCAAAAACATAACCGTTTAAATTTTGAAAATAAAGCGAATACGGTTCTGTTGGAAAGGACTGGAGTAACGCCGGCTGAGGTTATTAACGTTAAAACGCCGGTGCAAACTGAACCGCGAAATAATATGGCCGAGTTTATCCAAGGATCCCGTGGGTCCCATTCGGGCCACGGAATCGTAATGCATTTTCCTTATATAGTGTTTTTTATTATGTCTATCGTCGGGCGGCGAGAGAGATGCGAAAATGGCGACAATCTCGGATATTGTTCGTGCGGGAGGGATTCCGGTAATATATTGCTTACTTAAATTCCGGCCTCTTGTTCTCGGGAAATTATATCCACCTAGCTGTCGTATTTTATACTCTAATGCCAAAGTATCATGGATCTAACATCTTTTTCTCACATCCGCAACCATTATTTTTTTTACATAATGATATATGTTAGAAATATATAAAATTAACTATATCAAATTTATTTAGTTTTAATTAACATAAATCACCGTGATATATAAATCTTGCTTAAGATTCAAATGTGAATATATTTAGACCAATTTGCACAATTAGATGAAATGGAACATAATGAAAATTATTAACGAATCTTTTCATTTCTATTTAAGACCTCGTTAACATTTTTCTATAATCTAGTTCATTTTGCGACATCTTTATTTTTGGAATAAAATTGTATCCGAAAATGTTAAATTTTTAACATTTTTCATTAATAAAAGAATCTCTTTCGTTTAATATCCAAACTTTACATTACAGTTTTCTGTAATTACGATAAAGTAGAAATATAATAAAATTTCTTGTTACACCGCTATTTAATGTTAAGAACGAGAAAGATATTGTTAGAATAAGGTAAAATGAAAATCCAATTAATTTCCGTTTGTTCTTTGCCCAAAGATTGTATCGTAGATAACCACAGATTTTAGAACCGTGTCTTATTCTCTTTGTTTGTAACTACCCGCTCATAGATGGAGACACATATTGGTAACGAATTTGAGCTAATAACAACATCCAAAAAAATTAATTATTAACTAAGGAAAACTAATCAAAATACTAGTATAATAATTTTATATTATATTTATGTTTTAAATTTCAGAAATTTCGAAATATCTATCGGATTTCAAAGGTGCCTACCTGTTTTTTTACAGGATTCTGTAATATTCTTTAGTGCGATAATAATATTGAATTTGTAGTATGACAGATGGAGTTCAAACTACCTCCGTCAGCGTCCTGCAGCGCTGTAGTCGGTTTGTTTTGGTGTTATTTAATCCTAAAATTTTATAGTAAAGTAACGAATTAGTGGGGTGCTATTTTCAAGTTTTCAGCGAATTATTCTTTATTGTTGATTATTTGTTAATTAATTATTGTTACTTGTTTACTTATTGATATTATTACCAAGTTATTTGAAATCTTTTTTAATTATCTTACTGCATTTTCTTTCTTGTTTTAGATCCTAAACAAACAGCTGGAGAGAATAAACCTTACTTTGATTTATATTTACATGGTATAGTGCTGTAGATCAAATTCTTATTCACCTGAGATTGAATTCCATAGAAATATATTAATATTAGGGTATAAATTCAAGAATTATTGTGTCGCTTAAAAATCGATAATTTTTTTTAATCGACGGGAAATCACTCAAGCAAGCCGTTACATATAAAAAAAAGTACGGAAAAGCGTAAAATTTACCGAAAAATCACTTTAAAGTTTCGACGTGACGTCATTTTTTGCCACGTCATCATTGCAAGTATGCAACCAATATCACAGTAATGGTATTGAATACGCGATTTGTGTCCGGTAGGATAATTAATTAACACACTATACATATTTTTGCAGCAAATTTGGTTAAAACGCATATTTTCGGGTGAAATACGGCTGTTTCTTAGGTTTTCGATGCACAACGACTAAAATGTCATTGTTTACCATATACAGTGTGTCCGTAAAGTAACGAATATAGGGGCGATAAAATCATTATAAACGGTTTATGGAAAAATCCTGCGTATAAATTAAAGATAACCTCAAAAATATAGCTGATGCCCTAAACGTTACGTTCTTATCTACAACAAGACTGAACCGACTGAACACAAGAGTCTGAAGACGCAAAGTAAACCCGATACTTTCTAGGTCTAGTGTTAGTTCTAGTTTTACACTATCACTAGAACTAACACAAGACCATGTACCGATACTTTCTAGTTCTAGGTCTAGTGTTAGTTCTAGTTTTACTCTATCACTAGAACTAACACAAGACCTAGAACTAGAATCATTCGGGTTTAGCCATCTTGAGAGACGTGCGGCTAAATCCGAATGTTTCTAGTTCTTGGTCTAGTGTTAGTTCTAGTATTGCACTATCACTCGAACTAACACAAGACCTAGAACTAGAATCATTCGGGTTTAGCCGTCTTTAGAGACGTGCGGCTAATCCCGAATGTTTCTAGTTCTAGATCTAATGTTAGTTCTAGGTTCTAGTGACAGTTGTAGGTAGCGCTAGTTAGCATAAGATATCAGTATATTTTTATTGCACTAAAACTAGAACACTAGACCTGAAACTAGAATCATTCGGGTTTAGCCGTCTTGAGAGACGTGCCATTAAATCCGAATGTTTCTAGTTTTCGGTGTAGTGTTAGTATTTGCACAGTCTATCTAACGACAGGTCTAAGATTTTTAGGTAACAAAGTATAAAACATATAATGTGTATAATACTTTATCGGGTGTTAGGAATTGGGAGAAAATGGTCAATTGAAGTTGCTTAAATGGTTTTAGATCTAACAGTGCTTCCCGCTTAACAACTGACTATAAATTGTAGGAATTAAGGTGTTGTTCGCTGTTAGACTTAAAAATATGTAGCTAACTTCAATTGATCAATTACATATTTACTTGTATTCCTCCGACAGATAAGCCTTTAAAACGAATTTCTTTAGAGTATATTCAAATAGCTAAAGAATGGTAGTGATTCGTTATTACGAGACCCCACAAACCCAAAAATATTATAAATATGAGGTTGTACATCGATTTAGGAAAGAAAATGCAGATCCAGTTTTGCAATATTAATCGCAGCTACATATACATTAATATGCTATAATAAGCATATTTAAATGGTATTTGGGGAACAAATAGAACAAGTCAAGGATGAAAAACATGTGTGTTGTACTGTGATGAAGAAATTGAACCATCCTGGCACAACAGTAATGGTATTTAATAACAAATGTAGTAACAATGAGTTGGAGATGGGAAATGGAGTCGTTTTACAACTTCATATAGATTTCTCTAGACCCTTTGAAGAGAGCACTAACCAAGGTGTTTACCGATACATGTAGACGATGGTTAAAGTTTTTCAAATGAAAAGTATCCTTTCAATCAATACGATAGATGTTCTTCGCGCGATATTTAGTGAATTTGGAGTTACGAATTTTTTGGTTTTGTACAAGACCACACTTGCTTACAAGAATTTTGTAACCAAATTAATTTAAACACTAATGATGATTCAACGTTTTTATAAAATCTTAGTCAGTCGTTATGCATCCAAAGTCGATCCAGAGTCGAAAGACTTATCTGTTTATTACCAAAGATTAATATTAGCCGGAAGTAGAATAATTTCAATTGAATCTGGAAATAAAATCATCCAATACTGTTTTTTTTTTTTATTTTAAAAGTTACATTGAGTTTGATATCACGCAAAGCAATAGACTCCGACTTCCACGTGACATTGAAGTTGTGAAAGTAATTACTCTGGTGGGAGAATTTATACTTCCCATTTTTTCTGACAATGGCAAATGTTAATATTATAACTAAACTTGCGTTATCCAACCACAAACAATACGTTGACCGCTCCTGGAGGTAATGGAATGAAATAAAAAGCCAAAAAAGATTTTTTTTTATATTTTAAACTGTTTAAGTATATTAATTTATTGTGTTTATATTTATTGTTGAAATAATATTGTGTTATCAGTTCTGGCAAGTTTACAAAACTCGTCATCAACGTCTGCTGTTGTAAAAATAACATGTCGCATTATTTCAAAATACACACTTCCTTTCTAATAATAAAACTGTTTACTCCTAACGTCTTAAGGGAATGTGATTCTTCCTACGTAACATACGGCATCATCATCGCCGACACACGTAATCGCCAAAATAAACTAAAATTTACCAGCTGTCGTCGCTGCGTTTCGGCCTTCAATCTTTCGGTAACGCACTATCGCTTTTCCCTCTCGCGTACAATTTTATATTAGTAGTTTTTGCGCCCAACATCCTCTCGAGGAGCGAATGTTTTGATTTTCTCCTCGCAGCCAAAACCGCTTTACACAGATCTTGAAAAACCATCGCTACAGGACCAACTTGTTCGGCAGCCGTTACCTCTGAGAATCCGCATTCTAAATCTCTCGCCAAAATAGTACCTTCTTCGGCGCTAACTTGTCTTAAATGAATCATATCGTTTTTATTCGCAACGAGATAAAGCGGCATATCACAATCGTTTAGTAAAGTCCCTACTTTTTTAACATACGCAAATGATCTTCTATCTGTTATGGAATAAACCAAGAGAATTCCGTCAGCCCAATTTAAGGTATCTGATGATGGAAAATCATCTTCATTCTGAAAATAATAAATAAAGTGATTATATCGATGATCTTCTGTTAATTAATTGATTAACAAGAAACGCTTATTAATTTTCCTAAGAAACACGACAGTGTATTCATTTTAGTAATCAAACGTGGTTTATTTGTCCATATACCGGATGAGGCCGCATCATGTAATAATATTATCTTAACGCAGATATTACGACCGATAAAGCAACGATCAAAGCATACACGAATTGATATATTTCCTCAACCTTCACGTTCTAATTCATTACTATCGTAGAGTTTACGCCCGAAAATTATAGCCTTCTCAAGTTCCGGTCGCGAAGTATACAAAAAAAAAATCTCCATTCAACCGTTTCGTAATGGACGTGCCTGTAAATATTATTTTCGTTCAAGGTTGCGTTCACGTATTTCTGAAATTTAATCGAATTTGCAGCCACGTTTATTTTTCAGCATTAATAACAAAGAAACGGGCTGAAAGCGTGACTCGATCGACCCAATTTTTGCTTTCAACAAGAATATGCATTCAAATTTCAGAACGGCAAAATGAAAGTTGCCAAATATGTTGAGCAAGTTCCTTGAGCTACATCCTAAATTGACGACTGCAATAAAATACGTATTTCGTTATACTTATTTTTGCTATCCAATTTTTTTTTTTTTTGTTATAGGGTTATGGACAAATGCAATTTGTACACATTTCAATAGAGTCAAATTTACACCAACATCATTGTAGTGAAGAATATGACGCAATATTAATAAGTAGGGCAAAAATATGCAAACGTATATTTTTTTTCATACCCTCCAGAATAAAATGGACTAGATAGAAATTTGTTTCAAATCAATCTATGAATTTTGAGCCGTATTTGTTAGAGCATATTTTTGCTTATTTTATCTATACGAGCATACATTGCATATTTTGCAATTTGATATAAAGTTACCATAAAGTTATTCAATTCTTTAAAGAATATTAAATTATCGACATTCGAAAAGTTCAGGAAAGTTATCCCAATATGTGCGTGAATATCCTGTATTCAAAACTGATGGTAAGGTACTTTTTTGCAAAGTGTGCAACAAATCTGTGTCAGCCGAAAAAATATTCTCGGTAAAACAGCATCTAGCAAGTTTAAAACACATAGAATTAGAGAAAAAAAATAATGAGAAGAAAACTACTCAGCCTTTTTTTGCTGAATGTTCCACATCCAAATCAAAAGATATTCAATTTGCAGAAGATCTATGTAGCGCACTAATTTCAGCTGATATACCTCTATATAAAATGCGTAACAAAAAATTAGTATCGTTCCTAGAGTCATACACAGAGTACAAAGTACCATCTGAAACTACTCTTCGCACAAAGTATGTTAAGGAACTTTACCAAAATACCATAGAACACATACGAAAATGTATCAACGGTCGCTTCTTGTGGCTCTCAATTGACGAAACCACAGATGCAACAGGAAGATATGTGGCAAATGTCATCATTGGTATTTTGGATAATGATGAGTCGATTGCGAAACAAAAATTTTTGTTAAATACAGCAGTGCTTGATAAAGCGAATCATAGCACTATTGCAAGACATTTCGATGATTCTGTTAAGATTTTGGGTGAGACTTTCAACAGAGATATGATTTTACTCTTTGTATCAGATGCTGCTCCCTACATGGTAAAAGCAGCAAAGGCGATACAAACGTTTTATCCAAAAGTGACACACTTGACTTGTGCTGCACACGGACTTCATCGAGTTTGTGAGCAAATTCGAGGTACATACACTAACATCGACCGGCTTATCGCCAATGTGAAAAAAGTATTTTTAAAAGCGCCATCAAGAGTAGCAATTTTTAAGGAAATAGCGCCTAGTATTGTTCTTCCTCCACAGCCGGTAACTACTCGCTGGGGAACATGGATTGAAGCGGCAAAGTACTATGCAACTAATTTCGAAATAATTAGGAATGTGTTTGATGCATTAGACGAAGAGGACGCTGCGTCAATGAAAATTTCAAAGGCCTTACTAAATGACAATACAATAAAATCAGATTTGATTTTCATTGCATCAAATTATGGCTTCCTTTGTACGTCAATAAAAACATTAGAAACAACTGGGCTTTCGCTTTCTGCACAGGTTGATATAGTGACAAAAATTCAGGACTTAATTAATGGAATAAACAGTGAAACTGCTAAGCCAGTAAAGAAAAAAATGGATATGTGTATTTCAAAAAATCATGGTTTTTCTATTTTGAAAGAAATTTCTACATGTTTAAGTATAAGATCTACAGAAATAAAAAACAATAAATATACTGTTAGTGAAATACTAGCATTTAAGTTTGCACCTATAACTTCAGTGGAAGTTGAACGAAGTTTTTCAATGTACAAGAATGTTTTACCTTTCTTTTACCTTTTTGATAATTTAAGCGAGATGTTTGTCATTTATTGTAATTAAAATTTAAGTTGAATCTGTATTTGTTTTATTATCTATTTCTTTCTATTTGTCTTTTGTATATTGTTCAATATTTTTTAATTGTCTTTTAGTTTAAACATGTCAAACTAATAAACGTCTCGAGATATAAATAGAAATCATTTCTACTTTATTTTGTTTAACTTCGCCTACAGATTTAAAAGATAACTACATTTTAAATTTGATAGGAATATTTGGAAAAGACTCTTTTTTATAGACATATTTTCATGTTTAAACAGCATATTTTGATTTTTATACAGCATTTTTTAAGCGCTTAAACTATCATTTTTGAGCATATTTTTGGTTGCCCTAGTAACCAATATTTATATTGGCTGTACTTGATTCAGAAGAAGACCCTCTTTCATATTCCGTAATAAAAACGGGCGATTGTCATTTGAAACAAATATCGCAGACGTCATAATTCATTTAAGAATGGCGGAAAAAATTTAAAATTCTACACCAAAAAATTGCAAAAAAATTTAAATCTTTAGACACGTTTCAGGCATTTTTACATAAACATTTATAATGATTTTATCGCCTATATACGCTACTTTACGGACACACTGTATAACGTTTTGCATAAAATACGATATATTTATATATCGTATTTATATTTATTTATATATAGAATTATTCTATCATAGCAATTTTGCTAACAGTAAATATCAAAATGAAAGGTAAGTTGATTACAATTCAAAATAATAAACTTAGCTGTAACTTTATTTTTTATATTTTAGTTACATTCTTGTTACGTGTCATCTTTGTCTAATACATTACTATATGCCAAAGCCGACCTAATTGATGATTGCCCTGAGGACATGAAGATTATACCGTCTTTTACATATGCGATTGGCGAAATCCCGTCAATTTCGATTACCCACCTGATTTATATTTCAACAAAGAATTGGAAATCTGTGATTGACCAGATAAAGAAGGATGCAACGGTGATGGTGGAGATAACAGTGGAAGTAGCAGCATCGCCAGCAATAAAGGGGATGAAGACGATAAAGAAAAATTTAAAGGCGGTGATGACAATGTTGAAGAGAATTCTGGTAGTTCCAGCTCTAGTTCTAACTTTGAAAGTAACTATGGAAATGGCCTAGACAAATGCCTAAATGATCCGTGCCCTAAAGTAAATGGCGATTTCTGTCATTATTTTGCCCACCCCGAAACCTTTTCAAAACCAAACTTAACGTTTGCGATTGGCCAACTAATGCAGGATGTGAATAATACATTTATTTTCATAAAAATGTTATTTAATGAAGCAATAAAACATGATTATGTATTAATAATTGGATTCTTAACCCTTGCGTAGACGCGACTCTATACAGTGCTAGCGTAAAGTAACCCCCCCCCTTTTTAACTTCCGAACAGATTGAGATATCAATATGAGCAAAAAAACGTCAGGTTCTATATTTTATCAGCACAAATATTTTCTTATGGAAAATTTTGCTATCACTTTTAGTTTTTCCGGAAAATGGATCCACTTTGTTTTTTTAAATGGAACACCTAGTATATTATGGTATTTTCCGAAAGATGAAACCAATACGAATCCAACGGTACCTCACAATCAAATATCGGTTTATTAGTTTTTCGCATAAAAATTAAACAAAATGCGGAATTTCGCCGGAAAAACCAACGTATCTTCGTCGACTACCTGTCGAAATGCAATCGGCCAGTTAAATGGTGGTCGGTAGGTTAACGGTAGGTATACGCTCGAGCTAAGACGGATTTAAAATTGATAGTTCCCTTACTTATTTTTGAAGTATATTAAATTTATGAATTAATCATATTTTATCAAAAAATATTTATAAAGAAAAAAATCAAAGTCAATATAAGAAATGAAATTTTTTTTATTAAAGATTTTGCCGTATTGGTTGAAAAATTGGCTTAGTGTTGTTATTGAATAATAAAAGAATTTTTTATTTATTAGGAACAAACATTTTTGTAGTGTTTCCTCTCACACGGCTTAACATGTGATGATCAATATTTTGGCAGACGTCAATAATTTCGTCAATAACACCATAAAAAGAAATCTAAAGGTGTCAGATCTGGTGATCTTGTTGGCCATTCAATCGGCCCACGTCGACCGATCCACCGTCCATTAAAATTTGTATCAAGATAATTTCGTACCATTGCCACATAATGTGGAGGAGCCATTTCAAAATCGTCAGGATTCTGGTGTACAATTTGCAAAAGACTTGGATTAATATCTTCTTCTAATAATCTTAAATACAATTCCGGTCTAATTTTCGGTTAGGAATATTGGTCTCACGATGTGATTTCCCAATATGCCTGTCCAAACATTTATTTTCTTGGGAAATTGAGTGTTAACTTCACGATATTCATGTGGACTAAAATCACTCTAGTAACGTACATTTTGCCGATGCAATTTTCCATCCAAAAAGAAAGTACATTCATCACTGAAACAAATCTAAAAATATTTCCCCGCCGTTGTTGGACCCACATCACACGTTGATGCGATAGCAGCAGACGACATCATGCACGCATTAACTACTTCTGTTAACATCTGCACTTGTGTGTCTTCAGAAATCGAACGACGACCAGTTCTTTTGCGGTCCTCGACGCTTCCAGTTTCCAAAAACTTATTTACAAGTTCTCTTAAATATTTTCGACTAATTGGATGTTCAGGAAATCGTTCATTAAATTGTCGCTCTGTTTCATGTACATTTCTGTCAGCACGAGGGAATATTAAAATTCCTCCGATTTTGTGCTCTAAACTCCTTCTAGCCATTTTGATCTCGCTTTTCTTTGGTTATACTTGGTCGGGTAGAATTCCAAGATAGAAATGAAGGACAATATTTGCATGCTGCCTTAAATAGAAAATTTCAAGGTACCTACAAACTTTAAAATTGTTGTTATGACAATTTTTTCTTAGAAGTTTTAAGAAGAACTTTCTTTTTATCCTTTTCTTGCATTGATTGTTTCATAAAAACATTCTAAAAGAATTGCCGATTTTAACCCTGCTTAACCCGAGCGTAGACCGACCTTTAACTGACCGTCCACCATTTATCTGGCCCATTGTATCTCGACAGGTAGTCAACGAAGATGCGTTGGTTTTTCCGGCGAAATTTCGCATTTTGTTTAATATTTATGTAAAAAACTAATAAACCGATATTTGATTGTGAGGTATCGTTGGATTCGTATTGTTTTATTCTTTCGAAAGATACCATAATATACTGGGTGTTCCATTTAAAAAAACAAAGTTGATCCATTTTCCGGAAAAACTAAAAGTGATAGCAAAATTTTCCATAAGAAAATATTTGTGCTGATAAAATATAGAAACTGACGTTTTTTTGCTCATATTGATATCTCAATCTGTTCAGAAGTTAAACAGGGGGGGGGGGGTTACTTTACGCTAGCACTGTATGTAACGCCAATACACGCTGGGACTATCAGTCATATAGCAGAAATCAACTCAATTTTTATATTATACATACTTTGAATTATAAATTAAATTGTTTTACAGCAAGTTGGTTTATTAAAGTATTTTAAACCTGAAAATATTAGGGTATAAAAAGGCAACTAATATTTACCTTAACATTTAATAATTTGTAAAACACATGGGTACGACCACATTTGTTGTATATCTTTATTTTATTTCGAAAACGTTATTTGAATTCATTATCCACGTCTTTTTCACTACTACCTTCAAGACCACCACTACCATTTTGACAAATTAATTTAACGTGTTTTTTAAAACATATATAGCTATTACACTTTTCGCATGTAAAGGTTGTTCTGGCGTCCTTCTTCGATTCTATGTAACAAGCTTCGCATCGTTTCCTTTTGACAGATCTTCGACTTGTTCCAACTTGATTGTTGTCGTCTGGTATTGCTGGTTTATGCTTTGCTAGCATGGTTTTCAGTTCATTTGGCAATGACTCAATAAGCGATCTCCTCGTCAATTGTTCTGAAACTAAACTGAGAGATCATTTTTTTAGATAGTCTCGTCTTGAAATATATTTGTTGCCATTGCCCAAAAAAATAATTCTAGCATTTATCGCTGCTACATTCAATAAATGATAAAAGATGACCATCGGCCATCGCCTTGTTGCTCTAGCAACGTTGTACCGAGCGCACACTACATCCACTCCAGATTTTGTACTATTATAGTATTCGATAACTTCCGGTTTCCGTTGTCTATTAGTTGCCACTTTGTGGTAATTTTCTCTTGTTTTTCGGACAGTTCCAACGTATGATATTTTCTTCTTTTCCAAAACTTTTACAAGTTTCAAACTTGTAAATCAATTGTCTGCGGTAATGTTTCTTCCGCTTCCATAAATTGGCTCTGAAATTCGCATGACAATATCTTCCGCAGAATTACTTTTTTTGTAAGGTCCGTCAGGTTGTTGGCCGCAATAGATCTCCATGTTGGCAGTATAGAAAAGCTTTGCGTCAGCAAGACAAAAGATTTTTATACCATATTTTTTTCAACCACAACGACCACGAAATGCTGGAAGCATCTCATCAATAGTGACGTTTTCGCCTAAATTGTAATGTAATTTGCAGTTCTCAATAAATAAAACAAATATTTCACCATTCATGGGATTCCCATCGGATACGTGCATGAATGCAACACAAAAACGGATCAATATATTTTTATTCTTATTTTTATATAAAATTGATACTTATTAGAAATACGCAACTAAACAATTTACTAACACGTAAATAAAAAGGAGATATCTAAACAATAAAACTACCGAATATGTGCGTGAACTACCGGATCAACGTTCGCCGAAAAGAGGAGACGTAAATACAAGCGCTGGGATTTTCAGTCCCAAATCATGTACGCGCGGCATTGTTTGAGTGTTTACAAAGTAATAAAACTCAGCCTTCGTTTGATACTCATGTAAAGGGTTCCTAAAACATCATTTTGAGATCTCAAAAATTCACAGTGCCGTAGCTGTAATAGTTTTCACGTAATTACAGAAATGATAAGGCATGGGACTGCTAGTCCCATACGCGTCTATTCAAGGGTTAAACAGTACATTATGATATCACCACAAATAAGACAACTCGAGTAGAATAGTTTACTTTTAAATTTCGATGATGAAGATTACAACAGATAGGTATTTTACACAAATCTCTAACTCTGTGATAGAGTTTTTGGAAAGAATTACGCGACAACCTAATCACATGAAAGAATGATTTTGACCTGTATAAATTATTTAATGAAATCAATCTTCCACTTCAAAGTGACGAATTGATGAAAAAAAAAATGTTACAGCTGTTTTTTTACACAAGAAAAATTTCCCTAACTTATCAGCAACACCCTTCAAAAATTACGACTTGCTTGTTTACTATCACCGTTTGGAGAACCTCCACAGTGGTTTCAAAGATCGTTTGCAGGACATTTTAAAATTGCTAATACCACGGTGGTATCGGATCCTTTTTCAAATGTCAACACTACAGGAGCAGGATCACCCACCTGGAAGAATAACTTATAGAAGTGACAATAAATAAGTATATTTTTATTTAATTATTTAATCAAATTCAAAAATGGCTACCGGTCGCGTGGTGGGCTTGATGGACAGTATTCATTTTCGTAGAAGAGAATCAGATAATCTTTTATCACAAATTGGATCTTCCTTGGATCTTCTTGGATATGCCATATGAACGGATATGTTATATCTTCACTGCAAAATTATATGGATTGTTATGAAACCATTCAATAAAAGTTATTTCTACAACCTATGTTTTTTTTACAACCTACTAACGCCCTTAGACATGGTTATAAACAAAAACAAATTATTAATACATAATCATATTTTATTTAATTTATATTTCTTTAAATAACATTTTTATGAAAATAAATATATTATTTACATCCTGCATCAGCTGGCCAATCGCAAACATTAAGTTTGGTGTTGAAATGAAGTCCATCTGGGCATGGCATATCATAGGCAACTCCCCAATCGCATTGGCAGAATCTACCACAGGTTTCAGGGTGGGCAAAGTAATGAGGGAAATCACCATTTTCTTTGGGGCATGGATCATTTGGGCATCTGCCTTGACCGTTTCCATCGCCACTTTCGTCACTTTCGGAGCTAGAACTAGAGCTGGAGCTACCGGAATCTTCCTCAACATTGTCATCTCCTCCCTCAACTTCTTCATCATCACCTCCATCAACTACATTTTCGTCGCTTTCGCTGCTGCTACTGCTACTGCTGCTTCCACCATCATCTCCACCATCACCGTTGCATCCAGCTTTATCTGGCCAATCACAGACTTCCAATTCTTTGTTGAAATGTAAATCAGATGGGCAATCGAATTTGACGGGTTTTCCCCAATCGCATTTATAAAAGACTGAGTGTTCAAAAATTGTTTCTTCGGAATCATAATTTTTTTTTAAATATGTTTAAATTTATTGGGTATCATAAAAATATAAACTGAACGAAAAGATTCTTAAGCAGGACATTATGATATCACCACATACAAGACAACTCGAGTAGCATAATTTATTTTTAAATTTCGATGATGAAGATTACAATAGATAGGTGTTCCACATAAATCTCTTTAACTCTGTGATAGAGTTTTTGGAAAGAATTATGCGACAACCTCATGACATGAAAGAATGATATTGATCTGTATAAATTGTTTAATGAAATCAATCTTTAACTTCAAAGTGATGACTTGATGAAAACTTTAGTAGCCAAGCTGCTCTTACACAAGAAAAATATCGCCAGATCGCCAGATGTCAGTCTCACAATTTCCCTAACTTATCAGCAGCACCCTTCAACAGTTACGACTTGCTTGTTTACTACCAACGTTTGGAGAACCTCCACAGTGGTTTCAAAGATCGATTGCAGGAGATTTTAAAATTGGTAATACCACGGTGGTATCGGATCCTCTTTCAAATATCAACACTGCAGGAACAGAATCACCCAGCTGGAAGAACAACTTATGGAAGTGACAATAAATTAGTAAATTTTTATTTACTTATTTAATCAAATTCAAAAATGGCTACCGGTCACGTGGTGGGCTTGATGGACAGTATTCATTTTCGTAGAAGAGCAACAATCAGATAATCTCTTATCGTACGTAGAATGTTTTAAACAACATTTTCTGCGCTTAATACGCTTATTAATTTAAGCACAAATTGGATCTTCCTTGGATCTTCTTGGATATGCCATATGAACGGATATGTTATATCTTCACTGCAAAATTATATGGATTGTTATGAAACCATTCAATAAAAGTTATGGCTTCAACCTATGTTTTTTTACAACCTACTAACGCCCTTAGACATGGTTATAAACAAAAACAAATTATTAATACATAATCATATTTTATTTAATTTATATTTCTTTAAATAACATTTTTATGAAAATAAATATATTATTCACATCCTGCATCAGCTGGCCAATCGCAAACATTAAGTTTGGTGTTGAAATGAAGTCCATCTGGGCATGGCATATCATAGGCAACTCCCCAATCGCATTGGCAGAATCTACCACAGGTTTCAGGGTGGGCAAAGTAATGAGGGAAATCACCATTTTCTTTTGGGCATGGATCATTTGGGCATCTGCCTTGACCGTTTCCATCACCACTTTCGTCACTTTCGGAGCTAGAACTAGAGCTGGAGCTACTAGAATCTTCTTCAACATTGTCATCTCCTCCCTCAACTTCTTCATCATCACCTCCTTCAACTACTTCTTCATCGTCCCCTTCATACCTTTCACTGCTGCTACTGCTGCTGCTACTTCCACCGTCATCTCCACCATCACCGTTGCATCCAGCTTTATCGGGCCAATCACAGACTTCCAATTCTTTGTTGAAATGTAAATCAGATGGGCAATCGAATTTGACGGGTTTTCCCCAATCGCATTTGTAAAAGACGGTGCAATCGTTATCATCTACCAAGAAATCAACTTTTTCCGGGTTCATTGTGTCAGGGCATTCACCAACTGGGTCGGCTTTGGCATATTGAAAAGCCAATACAAAGGTGGCACATAACAAGAATGTAACTAAGATATAAAAAATAAAGTTTTAGCTAGGTATATTAAATTAAAATCGTTGTAACGTTACCTTTCATTTTGATGCTTAACCAAATTGCTATAATCGAACAATTCGAATAATAATTGAGGAAGGTACTACCTGATTTTATAGCAATGTTAACCGCAAAAAAACGTAGATAACTATTTTGATAATTGCCAATTAATTAGTGTTGATAGGTACAGATATTAATCTTTACTATCAATCCACTAGTTACATACATATTGAGTATAAAAAATAGGAATTTGAGTTACAGGAAATAATAGAATCAATGAAATTTTCTAATATTAATTAATAATTCCAATAATAGTAATTAATGATGATAATATGATAAGATTTCAATGTCAAAATAAATTTTCTAAAGAGTTCTTTGTTCCCATTCATTTAAAATTAATTAAAAAACTAAATGTGTATAGGCGTCCGTAAAGTAGCGGATATAGGCGATAAAATCAATATAAACGGTTTATGGAAAAATTCCTAAAAGGGGTCTGAAAATTACAATTTTTTTAAAATTTTTAAACAATTTCCGAATTGTCAAAAACTGATTTAGTATAGCTTATCGAAGTTTAGCGGTACGCATCTTGTTGGAATTGAGTTGGGTCAACATTATCGGGATGAGGCCGTTATAAAAGTAATGATATCATTTTGAAAAAATGTAAACATCGCTCTTCAGTTAAGGTTTCCTAGAAAGGTAAGAACCCAGGATCTTATCCCCTACTATTTCGCTCTAAGCATTGATCTTTTGCGGATATTTGGTTTGCGACTTTCTTGCCCAATGTGGATTTTGGGTAGCCCAATAACGACAATTTTGTCTATTTACTTGTCCACTCAATGTAAATGTTCCCTCGTCGGAAAAAATTATGTTTTTGATAATGTTCTCCGTCGTCGTTGCAAAATTGTTGTTGTACAAACTACGACTCATTGCTCGTGAATGAGATTTACTTTATAGGTATGTGGTGGTAGAAGCTGTACATAACCGGAGCGATTTGTTGTTCAAAACTATCAAAAATAGCAAACACGAGAACTGATAACACATGAATGATAGTGAGAAAAACAAAGAAAATAAGTAGAATGGAGAGATTGCTCCTAACAAAATATTACAAATCCTAACTACAATACTGATGCTGGAAATGGTTAACCCTTCATTATTAAGTGCAATCAAAAAATATTATTATTAAACAAATAAAACAATAGTTACGCACTCGAGAAAAAATGAAATATAATAATTGCTAGTAATAAACAAAAAAGAAAAAAATGAAGGGTTTTACAAATACAACAATAGTAACGTTTAGCGATCAGCCTTCTGACTCCTTGCACCAGTTCTACGAGATGACTAGAAACGCCGACAATCCTCAATGGCAATTTTATTATTAAATGCGAATTATCACCAAAAATATTAGATCAAACCGCACCAGCAAAGAGCACATCTACACACCTTCCGCCATATTTTTCTTTCGTTTCCACGTTTCTTTCATATTCCGCAATAAAAATGGGCGATTGCCATTTGGGAAAAGTATCACTGACGTTATAATTCATTTAAGAATGGCGGAAAAAAATTAAAATCTACAACAAAAAATGTATGTCTTTAGACAAGTTTCAGGTACTTTTACATAAACATTTATAATCATTATATCGTCTATATACGCTATTTTACGGACACACTGTACAACGTTTTGTATAAAATACGGGGTTGATAAATTATAAATCATTAATCGAATTGTTCTGTCATAGCAAATTGGCTAACAGTAAATATCAAAATAAAAGGTAAATTGATAACAATTCAAAATAATAAATCTAGTAGTCACTTTATTTTTATATTTCAGATACATTCTTGTTATGTGCCATCTTTGAATGTGCCATTTGATTTACATTTCAACAAAGAATTGGAAGTCTGATGATGGAGATGACAGTGGAGATAACAGTGGAAGTAGCAGCAGCGAAAGCAATGAAGGGGATGAAAACGATGAAGAAAAATTTGAAGGCGGTGATGACAATGTTGAAGAAGATTCTGGTAGCATCAGCTCTAGTTCTAGCTTCGAAAGTAACTGTGAAAACGGCCAAGGCAAATGCCTAAATGATCCATGCCCTAAAGTAAATGGTGATTACCGTCATTACTTTGCCCACCCTGAAACCTGTGGAAAATTTCCTGATGGAGATCATTTCAAAACCAAACTTAACTTTTGCGATTGGCCAACTAATGCAGGATGTGAATAACACATTTATTTTCATAAAAATGTTATTTAATGAAGCAATAAAATATGATTATGTATTAATAATTAGTTTTTGTTTATAATTGTATCAAATATTCAGCATTAACAGAAAACTTATCTTGCTCTCTGTTGATATCACTCAAATTGTGCAAGGAAATTGGACTGAGTGTTCAAAAATTGTTTCTTCGGAATCATAATTTTTTTTTAAATATGTTTAAATTTATTGGGTATCATAAAAATATAAACTGAACGAAAAGATTCTTAAGCAGGACATTATGATATCACCACATACAAGACAACTCGAGTAGCATAATTTATTTTTAAATTTCGATGATGAAGATTACAATAGATAGGTGTTCCACATAAATCTCTTTAACTCTGTGATAGAGTTTTTGGAAAGAATTATGCGACAACCTCATGACATGAAAGAATGATATTGATCTGTATAAATTGTTTAATGAAATCAATCTTTAACTTCAAAGTGATGACTTGATGAAAACTTTAGTAGCCAAGCTGCTCTTACACAAGAAAAATATCGCCAGATCGCCAGATGTCAGTCTCACAATTTCCCTAACTTATCAGCAGCACCCTTCAACAGTTACGACTTGCTTGTTTACTACCAACGTTTGGAGAACCTCCACAGTGGTTTCAAAGATCGATTGCAGGAGATTTTAAAATTGGTAATACCACGGTGGTATCGGATCCTCTTTCAAATATCAACACTGCAGGAACAGAATCACCCAGCTGGAAGAACAACTTATGGAAGTGACAATAAATTAGTAAATTTTTATTTACTTATTTAATCAAATTCAAAAATGGCTACCGGTCACGTGGTGGGCTTGATGGACAGTATTCATTTTCGTAGAAGAGCAACAATCAGATAATCTCTTATCGTACGTAGAATGTTTTAAACAACATTTTCTGCGCTTAATACGCTTATTAATTTAAGCACAAATTGGATCTTCCTTGGATCTTCTTGGATATGCCATATGAACGGATATGTTATATCTTCACTGCAAAATTATATGGATTGTTATGAAACCATTCAATAAAAGTTATGGCTTCAACCTATGTTTTTTTACAACCTACTAACGCCCTTAGACATGGTTATAAACAAAAACAAATTATTAATACATAATCATATTTTATTTAATTTATATTTCTTTAAATAACATTTTTATGAAAATAAATATATTATTCACATCCTGCATCAGCTGGCCAATCGCAAACATTAAGTTTGGTGTTGAAATGAAGTCCATCTGGGCATGGCATATCATAGGCTACTCCCCAATCACATTGGCAGAATCTACCACAAGTTTCAGGGTGGGCAAAGTAATGAGGGAAATCACCATTTTCTTTGGGGCATGGATCATTTGGGCATCTGCCTTGACCGTTTCCATCGCCACTTTCGTCACTTTCGGAGCTAGAACTAGAGCTGGAGCTACCGGAATCTTCCTCAACATTGTCATCTCCTCCCTCAACTTCTTCATCATCACCTCCATCAACTACATTTTCGTCGCTTTCGCTGCTGCTACTGCTACTGCTGCTTCCACCATCATCTCCACCATCACCGTTGCATCCAGCTTTATCTGGCCAATCACAGACTTCCAATTCTTTGTTGAAATGTAAATCAGATGGGCAATCGAATTTGACGGGTTTTCCCCAATCGCATTTATAAAAGACGGTGCAATCATCATCATCTACCAAGAAATCAACTTTATCCGGGTTCATGGCGTCAGGGCATTCACCAACTGGGTCGGCTTTGGCATATTGGAAAGCCAATACAAAGGTGGCGCACAATAAGAATGTAACTAAAATTTAGAAAATAAAGGTTAAGCTAAGTTTATTAAATCGTAAATCGTTATTAACTTACCTTTCATTTTGATGTTTTGTCAAATTGCTGCGGTGGAACAACTCGATTAACGATTCGTGATATACCCTCTTATGTTATATAGGAAACATTATCTACACATTCTTTTTTAAATAATTTTATGTGAATGAGAACAAAGAGCTCTTTATTAAATTAAATTAATTAAAAGCGTAGAAGTTTTTAAGTGGTTTCATTGATTCTAATTTCTCTTATGATTTACTTAATTGAACTATATTTTTTATAAGTATGATTAGAATAATGAATAAGTGGTCAGAGCTATTGAACAATGAATTATTAAATCGATAACGATCAATACTTATTTTTATCAAAACTAATTAATTAGCAATTAGAGTAGTTTATTATTTATAATTAAATTACCTTCATTTTTTAGGAATACATTGCTATAAAATAGTGTTACTGCATACTCAAATTGTTATTCGAATTGTTCGACCACAGCAATTTGACGCGATATCAAAATGAAAGGTAAGTTCAAACAATTACAATATAATAAACTTGGCTAAAATCTTATTTTTTATATTTTAGTTACATTCTTATTGTGTGCCACCTTTGTATTGGCTTTCCAATATGCCAAAGCCGATCCAGTTGGTGAATGCCCCGACGACATGAACCCGGCTAAAGTTGATTTCTTGGTAGATGATAAAGATTGCACCGTCTTTTACAAATGCGATTGGGGAAAACCCGTCAAATTCGATTGCCCATCTGATTTACATTTCAACAAAGAATTGGAAGTCTGTGATTGGCCAGATAAAGCTGGATGCAACGGTGATGGTGGAGATGATGGTGGAAGCAGCAGTAGCAGTAGCAGCAGCGAAAGCGACGAAAATGTAGTTGATGGAGGTGATGATGAAGAAGTTGAGGGAGGAGATGACAATGTTGAAGAAGATTCCGGTAGCTCCAGCTCTAGTTCTAGCTCCGAAAGTGACGAAAGTAACGATGGAAACGGTCAAGGCAGATGCCCAAATGATCCATGCCCAAAAGAAAATGGTGATTTCCCTCACTACTTTGCCCACCCAGAAACCTGTGGTAGATTCTGTCAATGCGACTGGGGAGTTGCCTATGATATGCCATGCCCAGATGGACTTCATTTCAACACCGAACTTAATGTTTGCGATTGGCCAGCTGATGCAGGTTGCGAATGATTTATTTAATTTATGAAAGCGTTTATGTTATTTAAATAAATAAAAATATTATTGTGCTCTAAGAACTTTATTTAGAATTTTATTATAAAAATATTCAACTGAAGTTAATGCACTTCAATCGATGGAATTATGTCATCTTTATTGCAATGCTTCACTATGTACTGAGATGATGGCGAGAAGTTATTACTTAGTGACCATTCGCTTGCATATTCTGCTCGCTTTCTCGTGTATCGCGTCCCTTTCTGCCAGAAACAAGTCAAAAGGCGATATGGTCACATGGTATCGGTACTTACCCCTGCCATCGTGAAGTATTCTATTAATAATGTTAAGCTCCATGTCGACACATACGACGTCGGTATACGTTGTAATGTCATTTGACGATTCCCCGATGATCCACGTCCAAAAGAAAATGATGATTTCCCTCATTACTTTACCCATCCTGAAATTTGTACTACCTTCTGCCAATGCGACTGGGGAGATGCCTATAATATGCCAAGACTAGATGCACTTCATTTCAACTCCGAACTGAATGTTTGCGATTGGCCAGCTGATGCAGGATATGAATAATATATTTATTCACATTATATTTGTACTTATTATCAAATTATATTTGTTTTTGTTTATAATTATGCCTAAGGAGTTTAATAGGTTGTAAAAGAACATGGGTTGTAGTCATAATCATTTTGCAGTTGCGAGATGTGACATATTCATGTGGGATTCCCCCTTGAAAGCGCTAACGAATAAGAAGATCGAACCGTCGAAACAGTTGCCTCTGAGATCCCGAAGAGCAACGGTCGTATTTTTAAAACGTTCCGATCATATCAAACATTATTTTATTATGAAGTGAACAGTAATATGAAGTTCATTCATATAACATGTCTAGGGAGATCGAATTTGTGCTTAAATTCATAAGGCCATTAAGCGAACAAAATGTTGTTCTTTAAAACTAGGACGTGAAGCTTAACAATCTTGTTGACGGAAGTAACCTCGAGTTGTGGGGCATCTCATAGAAGCAAAATGAAAACTTTATTAACATTCCACGTGCGATTAGAGATTACCTGGGTGGTCCTCTCTTAAAGGAAATAAATACTGTATATTAAGCCCACCATTCCACACTAATATAACAAACCGCATTTCATTTTTCGTTAGTATTTGATAATTTAAATGATATTTGATAAAATAATTTAATGTTAGATATTTCCGAGCGGGTGAATGTCGAACCTGAAGTGCTAAAATGCAGACGTGACGACAGCGGGGGTAAACGAAAAAACACTCGGGGGTTTGAAAATTGGGGGAGAACGTTTTGAATTGCGCGACTGGTCAGGTTAAAGCGGGGAAGTTTTGGTGGTGTTTTTGAATCGAAATAGAAGAAACCTAAAGGAAAAGAGCCATCAGGTACAACAAATCGAGTTATAATATTCGTTATCACTCGCTTTGTTTCACTGTATTTTGTTTTATCTATCTTTCTTTTTCTTTTTTTTTTATATTATTGATTGTTTTATTAATTGCTTCCCAATTGTGCCGAACCCTAATTAACTTCTGTCCATTTATTACAGGGTTGCTAAAGCAGAGTGCTGATCCACGTTTAAGATAATAATTGAATTTCTACTTTGAAAGGCGGTCATAACACTGTTAAGAAGTTATGTATATCTGGCCATAATTTAATTACAACTAAATTAAGTTAAAAATGTTTAATATCATTATAATATCTTCTTAATGGTTAGTTAGGATTCATTACATCTACAAAGAATGCCTAAAACAAGATATAGGATTTTGTAACAAATATTTGAAAATAAAAATGAAACAAATGTTTTGTTGTGAATGTGTTTAAGCTAATGTAACTCCGAAAACATGGTGTATTTATTTCATGTACCCTAACAATAAGTATACATATACACCGTACAAGTCTCACAAATGTTTCATTGTATGTTTGCACAGGTACAAAAGACGTGACAATAATGTTTTCAAACCCCCATTTAAAAATAGCAACAAAATTGTGGATGCCTGGTTGTAGTTTATAGATAACAAAAAAAAATAAAATGAAAGGCTTAAATATATGCATGAACGATAAAATTATTATATTCGAATTTAAATTAATGAAATCAAGGTATTCAAAACAAAATAATGGAAGGGAAAAGAATAAAGGAACAGCACATCTATGGGGCAAGAGCGAAGTTGCGCCACTCCTGTAGATATGAAACAAAAAACTTAATCGCCAACACAATAAAACAAGTGAGATTAAAAAAAAAATCAATATTGCTAACACGAAAAGTTAAGAAGAATTGTTAAAAGATATATAAAATGTTAAGAGGAAGTTAAGTTAAGAGAAAACATTACTGCTAGTCAAATTGCTGTGTTTGAACAATTCGATTAATGATTTACAATTTTACAATACATTATCTACATTTTATTTTTTAATTAATTTTAAATGAATGGGAACAAAGAGCTCTTTAGACAATTAATTTTGGCAGTGAAATCTTATCTTATTAGTATTAGAAAATTTCATTGATTCGATTATTTCCTATAACTCATATTCCTATTTTTTATACTCAATATGTACTTAACTAGTAGATAGATAGTAAAGATTAATATCTGTACCTATCAACACTAATTAATTGGCAATTATCATAATAGTTATCTACGATTTTTTGCGTTTAACATTGCTATAAAATCAGGTAGAACCTTCCTCAATTATTATTCGAATTGTTCGATTACAGCAATTTGGTTAAGCATCAAAATGAAAGGTAACTTTAGAAACGATTTTAATTTAATATACTTAGCTAAAACTTAATTTTTTATATTTTAGTTACATTCTTGTTATGTGCCATCTTTGTATTGGCTTTCCAATATGCCAAAGCCGACCCAGTTGGTGAATGCCCTGACGAAATGAACCCGGAAAAAGTTGATTTCTTGGTAGATGATAAAGATTGCACCGTCTTCTACAAATGCGATTGGGGAAAACCCGTCAAATTCGATTGCCCATCTGATTTACATTTCAACAAAGAATTGGAAGTCTGTGATTGGCCCGATAAAGCTGGATGCAACGGTGATGGTGGGGATGATGGTGGAAGTAGCAGCAGCAGTAGCAGCAGTGAAAGCGATGAAGGGGACGATGAAGAAGTAGTTGAAGGAGGAGATGACAATGTTGAAGAAGATTCCGGTAGCTCCAGCTCTAGTTCTAGCTCCGAAAGTGACGAAAGTGGCGATGGAAACGGTCAAGGCAGATGCCCAAATGATCCATGCCCAAAAGAAAATGGTGATTTCCCTCATTACTTTGCTCACCCTGAAACCTGTGGAAGATTCTGCCAATGCGACTGGGGAGTTGCCTATGATATGCCATGCCCAGATGGACTTCATTTCAACACCAAACTTAATGTTTGCGATTGGCCAGCTGATGCAGGATGTGAATAATATATTTATTTTCATAAAAGTGTTATTTAAAGAAATATAAATAAAATATGATTATGTATTAATAATTTGTTTTTGTTAATAATTATGCTTAAGGGCTTTAGTGTAGCCATAATTTTTAATGAATGGTTTCATAATAATCCATATAATGTTGTTGTGAAAATGCAACGTATCCATTCAAATGGCATATCTAAGAAGATCTAATTTGTACTTAAATTCATAAGGACATTAAGCGAAGAAAATGTTCCTATTTAAAACTAGGACGTGAAGCTCAACAGTCTTGTTGAAAGATGTAGTGGGGCATGTCATAGAAGAAAAACAAAAATTTCGTTAACATTTTACGTTGGAGATTACCTGGGTACTCCAACCCAAGCTCCGGATAACCATTTTTGAATTTGATTTTTATTTCCCCCTTTATTATCTATTACTGTCAGTTCTATAAGTTCTTCTTCCAGCTGGGATGATCCTATTCCTACAGTGTTGACATTTAAAAAAGGATGCAACACCCACTCTGGTATGTTCTCCAAATATTGGCAGTAAACAAGAAAGTCATCATTTTTTATGGATTCTGCTGATAAATTAGGGAAATTGTGAAACTCACATCTGCAGATATTTTTCTTTTGTACGAGCAGTTTGGCTACGAAAGCAACTATGAAATTGTTTATTTTAAACAAATCGTCATTTTGAAGTTGAAAATTGATTTCATTAAAACTCCAAAATCAAAGAAAATTTCTTATCTATTATGTCAGAACATGGACTTAAACCAGTCTTTAGTTAACCATCCCGTGTAAATGGAAGAAGATATGTAGATAACATATTTACAAATACATTTACGGAGGTTGTCATAAAAAATATAGTAAACCGGCATCTAGGTGACCATCTGGCGCAATTGCCAACAATTATTCTTGAATATAAAATTGAAAAGAACAAGCATACAAAAATAAGACTAATAAATAAAGGAGCAATAAAACATTTCATAAGTAAATTAAGAAATGGTAGCGATTGGACAATAATAAAAGATCAAAACACTGATGCGCAAACCAGTTATACTAACAAGGGAAGTGTCACAACTGTGTCTCACCGATTTCGATGCAATTTGGTACAGTCATAGAATGGGCCAAAATAAGGTTCGCACATTTTTTTATACGTGCGGTAAAAGCCCCTGGGGCGAGTTATAGGGGTTGAAAGTTTGGAGAAAAAGTACGTTTTCACTTATATTTTGAAAACGAAAAGTGCTATCAAAATTTGGTAAATTGTAACTGATATTCATTTTAAAAGAGCTTTCTTTTGATGTGTCACACATATAGCAGAGGGTTAAAAAGGGCGAACTACCCCTATTTTTTTGGAATTATTTAAAAACCACCCTATCGATTTTGGCGGCATTAAGTATACTTCTAGTGCGTTCAAAAATATTAGTTAAGGGTTTTTTCCCATTCGCCCTAGATCAACCCCAGCGAAGTTACGGGGGTTAACATGTAAGCACTTTTCGTAAGAATGATGTGATAAAATTGTCAGGTATTTTGAAAATACTTTAAACAAAACCGTAAATTAGTCGCACAATAAAATGTTTAGTGTAAAATAAGGCATAATACACCATATAGGGGTTGTTGGGGTTATCCACCCCCTTAAAAATTAATTCTATCCCGGGCGTTATTTGTCGATTACGGCGAAATTTGGTACTGTGTTTGTTTTATATTTGAAGTAAAAATTTTTGAAAATGGTTATAAGGGTTACAAATTAGGGGTAGTTTTTTGTTTATACCTCGAAGATGAAANATGGTGTATTATGCCTTATTTTACATTAAACATTTTATTGTGCGACTAATTTACGGTTTTGTTAAAGTATTTTCAAAATACCTGACAATTTTATCACATCATTCTTACGAAAAGTGGTTACATGTTAACCCCCGTAACTTCGCTGGGGATGATCTAGAGCGAATGGGAAAAAACCCTTAACTAATATTTTTGAACGTGCTGGAAGTATACTTAATGCCGCCAAAATCGATAGGGTGGTTTTTAAATAATTCCAAAAAAATAGGGGTAGTTCGCCCTTCTTAACCCTCTGGTATATGTGTGATACATCAAAAGAAAGCTCTTTTAAAATGAATATCAGTTACAATTTACCAAATTTTGATAGCACTTTTCATTTTTAAAATATAAGTGAAAACGTACTTTTTCTCCAAACTTTCAACCCCTATAACTCGCCCCAGGGGCTTTTACCGCACGTATAAAAAAATGTACGAACCTTATTTTGGCCCATTCTATGACTGTACCAAATTGCATCGAAATCGGTGAGACACAGTTGTGACACTTCCCTTGTAAGTTTCACCGAATAATTATATTGTGCTATCAGTCTGCTAACACTAAAATGAATTCAGATGACCTAAGAAAGATGAAAAACACTTTGGATGCTATCTACACGATAGCTGAAGTAACGAAAGAAAAGAAATGGAAAGAAATGTATCAAATAAAAAAAACCTGAGTTTAGAAGACTGATAGATAATACAAAAAAACAAACTTATAAACAATGCATGATGAATTCAGAAAATAAAATAACTACTGCCTGGAATGTAGTGAAGCAAGAAACTGGAAAAACAAGGCGCAAGAAAGAAAATAATTCTCTTCTGGATGCAAATGACCTAAATCAATTTTTTATAAACAGTGGTAAAACTCAAACTACCAGTATGGAAATAAAAGATCCTATTGGGCTTGAGCAAATTGAACAAGCAGAAGGAATGCAACTAGAAGAAATTGGAGAAGAAGAAATGAAAAAGATAATCAAAAACTTGAATAAGACAAATACCTACAAAAGATGTTTACGGGATGACAACGAAACTAATTCAGATCATAGAACCAACAATAAGAGAAATATTATGTATATTATTAAACAAATGCTTAAGAGAGGGACCTTTTCCAAATGAATTAATGTACGTTAGAGTCATTCCTATTCAAAAACCAGGGGATCCAAATGATAAAAGTAAATATAGACCAATATCAATAGTACCAATAATGAAAGAAATTAATAACAAAGTAACTCCCCAATCGTATTGGCAAAATCTACTATAGGTTTCAGGGTGGGGAAAGTAATGAGGGAAATCAAAATTTTCTTTAGGCCATGGATCATTAGGGCAACTGCATTGGCGGTTTCCTTAGTTACTTTCGAACGTAGAACTAGTGCTGAAGCTACAAGATTCTTCTTCAACATTGTCATCACCTCCATCAACTACTTCTTCATCATCGTCACCTTCATTGCTTTCGCTACTGCTACTGCTGCTTCCAATATCTTCTCTAATGTCATCTCCACTATTACCGTTACATCCAACTTTATCTAGCCAATCACAGACTTCCAATTTTTTGTTGAATTAATATAATCAGGATAGGCAATCGAATTCGACAGGCGTTACTTTCTCCAATCGCATTTGTAGAAGAGGGCGCAATCTTTATCATTTAACAAGAAATCAACTTTTTCCGGGTTCATGTCAGGGCAATCACCAACTCGGTTAACTTTGGTATATTAGAACGGCAATACAAAGGTGGTACATAATAATAATAATAATTTTATTTAGTGATATCATACAGTTATATTTTCACAGGTCATATGTATGTAGGTGACAAGTAACAAGACATGATACAAATCTAAATTTAAAAATCATAAAATAATCTTTGTCATGGAACAATAAAATACAAAAACTAAAACTACACAAAATTGGTAAATTCACTTGTCAAATACTCATCAGTATCATAAAAGGCCTTATTAATCAAATAACCTTTAATTTTTTCTTTAAATTTTTGCAGTGGAAGGCTCTTGATGCTAGATGGCAGGGGGTTATAAAGTCTCACCGCATAGTAATTGATACCATTTCTAGCTCTATTCATGCGGCAACCAGGTACAATCAAATTTTCCCGATTACGCGTACTATTCTGTTCTATGTTCTCACGATTTTTTTTGTAAGAATCTTCGTGTTCCTTAAGATACAACAAGCAAGATAATATAAACAGAGAGGGCAATGTTAATATCTTTAATTCAAGAAATTTACTTTTACAACAAGCTCTGTAACTCAACCCCGCCAGTATCCTGACGCATCTCCTCTGAACACCAAACACCTGATCAGCATGTGCAAAATGTTCTCAGCAGAATTTTGCGTACGACATATGTGGAAAAAAAATAGCCGTAATACGCTTTTATTAGTACTTCATGTGAAACCATTGCTTTGATATTACGAATTAAGAATATACTTTTATTTAACGTTTTTGTTAAGTGCGCTACACTTACTTAGATATCCTCCTAAGTACTTCACTGGTTCAGTGGGCAAATCAATATGTCGAAGTGAGAAAAAATGTGTTTAAGTTTTTGATTCATTGATATTAAGACGATTAGAGTCAAACCATTCCAAAATATTTCTTTCAGAATCCTTACTTATAGCTTTTACATCTGCCTCCGAATTGCATTTGTTTATAATGACGATATTATAAGCGAACAAGATCATATGTGTCTTGTCCATTAATAAAAATAAGGAACAATACTTATTCCACAGGTACTCCACACCAAACCGGCAAATCAGAAGTCTGATTTTTATACTGAACGAGTTGCATCCGCCCAGACAAGTACGACCGCAGAAGATTTATACTTTTTGGACCGAAATAAAGTGTTTGAAGCTTATTTAGTAACAAATCGTGTGAAACGCAATCGAATGCCTTTGTTAGGTCGTAAAATGAAATTAGCTTCCAAGTAATTCACAATTAGCCTTTTTAATATAATTTCATAAATCTTAGCAATAATAGGAACAATTGAAATTGGTCTGTAATTGCTCATATTATCATACGATCTTTTTTTGTGAATGAGAACAACCCTAGAGATTTTCAAGCAATCCCGAAATATGTCTGCCGTAACGGCCTGATTTATCAGCTTGCAGATAGGTACAACAATCAAATGTTTAATCACCTTGATAAGTTTGCTGTTCAGTCCGTAACAATCAGCGCTATTAGAATTTTTTATACCGGATATGTGATGTAAATATAGAGCCGGAAGCCTCTGTATTGCGAACTTATTAATTATGCAGCAAATTAGCTTTAAATACTTTATTAAGAAAAAAAGAACGATTCACATAATAAATGTTACAACGACGCATCACACCCTTTTCATCTAACGGTCATTACCAACTGTTAAAAAACAAATAAACTAAAAACACAAATAGTTTTCTACAATACAACAAATAACTCAATAAACGTTGTCTCCTAAAACATTCTAAAACTAAAAACATTCTAACAATATGATGTCTCTTACCTCATTGAATGAGACACTTCTAAATTGAAACCGTTCTTTTTGAGCGAGAGGCTGGCATTTGCTAGGGGAGATTCAGTTAAAGTCATCCGCGTTAATGATGTGTGAATAAGAATTTATTTTTACAGATTGATTACTTTTGATTACATCCCATGAAGCACGTTGAACGTTTGTTGGGCTTTTAATATATTCACTGTTCTTATGTTTCTTTGTAGCAAGAATAAGTTTACGATAGTAGGACCTATAGTGTTTCATATGCAATTAAATTACTATTGTATAGTTCTTTAAAAAAATTTTGGGTTTCACGTGCTTGTCGTATCTCTGCGGTGAGCCAATTTATTTTGCAATTCCTGTTAGAATCCAATAGTGTTGTTTTAATTTTAAAATTAGTATTAAAAGCAGTTATTATCAATTGCAGAAATTGCAAAAATTTGCTGTTGATATTTAAATCAGTAATTCAAATAAACGAAAAATCACCGGTTTCAACCAAGCTATAAAAAGTTAAAAGGCCGTTACTTGTTATAGGCATATAGCTGAACTTAGTAGATGAAATATTTTTTATAGCATCAAGCATAGTATATTCAAAGGAGACAGCCTGATGATCGGACAACACAGGATCAATGTCTTTAGTAGTATATAGATTAGAAGGAATATTGGTAAATATATTATCAAGGCAACCATTTTTGCGAGTAAGAGAAAATATCGTTCTTGTCAAACCAAAAGACTCTCATAAGTCACAGAGCCTGTTGGGTTCCTTGTTATTTTTGTGAAAGTGAACATTGAAATCACCGGTGACAACCACCATATCCCATAATTAAGTTTTATTTAGTAACGCATCAAACCTTTGAAAGTCGCCACACGGAGAGCGGAGAACATAACAAGAACGTAACTACAATATAAAGAATTAAGTTATGACTAAGTTTATTATAAAATAAAAAAGAAAAACCAAAATAAATGTTAAAAAAGGTGCCTTTTTTAACGTGTTTTCGATTACGACGTAGATCTTTTAGGTTAATCCTAAATTTGTTTTATATGTGCTTCGTTTTAATTAATTTGATTTTTTGATATCATTTTGAATCATTTATCATGTGTATTGGCATACCGAACAATTTTGTTAATCTCTTTATTTGTTGAATGAACAATGTTTCAAGACGAGTTTCCCCACCTTTAACTTGACAAGACTCCTGATGATGGTCACGTACAGAAACCGGTAGAGTTAATTAATAAAGGAAAATATATTGGAGTAGTTTGACCATTTATTTTGGTTTTTCTTATTTATTTTAACATTATCACCAATATGGATGACAACTCCTATACATATTAAGTTTATTATATTGAAATTTTTATGAACTTCCCTTCGTTTTGATATTTACTGTTGTGTAATTCCTATGTTAGAACACTTAGAACAATTCGATTAATGATTTACAATTTTACAATACATTATCTACATTTAGTTTTTTAAATAATTTTAAATGAATGGGAACAAAGAGCTCTTTAGAAAATTAATATTGATATTGTAATCTTATCATAGTATTCATTGTTTTTGAAATTATTAATTAATATTAAAGAATTTCATTGATTCTATTATTTCCTATAACTTATATTCATATTTTTGACACTTCATTAGTATTTGAGTATTCGATTGATAGTAAAGATAAATATCTACCCTTATTAACACTAATTAATTGGCAATTATCATAATTGTTATCTACGTTTTTTTGCGTTTAACATTGCTATAAAATCAGGTAGTACCTTCCTCAATTATTATTCGAATTATTCGATTACAGCAATTTGGTTAAACATCAAAATGAAAGGTAACATTATAACGATTTTAATTTAATAGACTTGACTAAAACTTTATTTTCTATATTTTAGTTACATTCTTGTTATGTGCCACCTTTGTATTGGCTTTCCAATATGCCAAGGCCGACCCAGTTGGTGAATGCCCCGACGACATGAACCCGGAAAAAGTTGATTTCTTGGTAGATGATAATGATTGCACCGTCTTTTACAAATGCGATTGGGGAAAACCTGTCAAATTCGATTGCCCATCTGATTTACATTTCAACAAAGAATTGGAAGTCTGTGATTGGCCCGATAAAGCTGGATGCAACGGTGATGGTGGAGATGACGGTGGAAGTAGCAGCAGCAGTAGCAGTAGCGAAAGCGATGAAGGGGATGACGATGAAGAAGTAGTTGAAGGAGGAGATGACAATGTTGAAGAAGATTCCGGTAGCTCCAGCTCTAGTTCTAGCTCCGAAAGTGACGAAAGTGGCGATGGAAACAGTCAAGGCAGATGCCCAAATGATCCATGCCCAAAAGAAAATGGTGATTTCCCTCATTACTTTGCCCACCCTGAAACCTGTGGTAGATTCTGCCAATGCGATTGGGGAGTTGCTTATGATATGCCATGCCCAGATGGACTTCATTTCAATACCAAACTTAATGTTTGCGATTGGCCAGCCGATGCAGGATGCGAATAATATATTTATTTTCATAAAAATGTTATTTAAAGAAATATAAATAAAATAAAATATGATTATGTATTAATAATTTGTTTTTGTCTATAACCATGTCTAAAGGCGTTAGTAGGTTGTGAAGAAACATAGGTTGTAGCCATAACTTTTATTGAATGGTTTCATAACAATCCATATAATTTTGCAGTGAAGATATAACATATCCGTTCATATGGCATATCCAAGAAGATCCAAGGAAGATCCAATTTGTGCTTAAATTAATAAGCGTATTAAGCGCAGAAAATGTTTAAAACATTCTACGTACGATAAGAGATTATCTGATTGTTGCTCTTCTACGAAAATGAATACTGTCCATCAAGCCCACCACGTGACCGGTATCCATTTTTGAATTTGATTAAATAAGTAAATAAAAATTTACTTATTTATTGTCACTTCTATAAGTTGTTGAAGTGATCCTGCTCCTGCAGTGTTGACATTTGAAAAAAGATCCGATACCACCGTGGTATTAGCAATTATAAAATGTCCTGCAAACGATCTTTGAAACCACTGTGGAGGTTCTCCAAACGTTGGTAGTAAACAAGCAAGTCGTAATTGTTGAAGGGTGTTGCTGATAAGTTAGGGAAATTTTTCTTGTGTAACAGTAGTTTGGCTACTAAAACAGCTGTAACATTGTTTTTCATCAATTCGTCACTTTGAAGTGGAAGATTGATTTCATTAAATAATTTATACAGGTCAAAATCATTCTTTCATGTGATTAGGTTGTCGTGTAATTCTTTCCAAAAACTCTATCACAGAGTTAGAAATTTGTGTGAAACACCTATCTGTTGTAATCTTCATCATCGAAATTTAAAAGTAAACTATTCTACTCGAGTTGTCTTATTTGTGGTGATATCATAATTTACTGTTTAACCCTTGAATAGACGCGTATGGGACTGGCAGTCCCATGCCTTATCATTTCTGTAATTACGTGAAAACTATTACAGCAACGGCACTGTGGATTTTTGAGATCTCAAAATGATGTTTTAGGAACCCTTTACATGAGTTTCAAACGAAGGCTCAGTTTTATTACTTTTTAAACACTCAAACAATGCCGCACGTACATGATTTGGGACTGAAAATCCCAGCGCGTGTATTTACGTCTCCTCTTTTCGGCGAACGTTGATCCGGTAATTCACGCATATATTCGGTAGTTTTATTGTTTAGATATCTTCTTTTTATTTACGTGTTAATAAATTGTTTAGTTGTGTATTTCTAATAAGTATCAATTTTATATAAAAATAAGAATAAAAATATATTGATCCGTTTTTGTGTTGCATTTATGCACGCATCCGATGGGAATCCCATGAATGGTGAAATATTTGTATTATTTATTGAGAACTGCAAATTACATTACAATTTAGGCGAAAACGTCACTATTAATGAGATGCTTCCAGCATTTCGTGGTCGTTGTGGTTTCAGGCAGTATATACCGTCAAAGCCAACAAAATATGGTATAAAAATCTTTTGTCTTGCTGACCCAAAGCTTTTCTATACTGCCAACATGGAGATCTATTGCGGCCAACAACCTGACGGAACTTACAAAAAAAGTAATTCTGCGGAATTCAGAGCCAATTTATGGAAGCGGAAGAAACATTACCGCAGACAATTAGTTTACAAGTTTGAAACTTGTAAAAGCTTTGGAAAAGAAGAAAATATCATACGTTGGAACTGCCCGAAAAAACAAAAGAAAATTACCACAAAGTTTTACTTTGCCAAAACGTAGAGCACAGTATGACAGCATTTTCGGTTACACAAGAAACGAAACCCTTGTCTCCTACGTGCCAAAGAAGGGTAAGACTGTTGTACTGCTATCCAGCTCGCATACGTCAAGCAATGAAGTGGCACCTAATAGACAACGCAAACCGGAAATTATCGAATACTATAATAGTACAAAACCTGGAGTGGATGTAGTGTGCACTACGTACAACGTTGCTAGAGCAACAAGGCGATGGCCGATGGTCATCTTTTATCATTTATTGAATGTAGCAGCGACAAATGCTAGAATTATTTTTTTGGGCAATGGCAACAAATATATTTCAAGAAGAGACTATCTAAAAAAATGATCTCTCAGTTTAGTTTCAGAACAATTGACGAGGAGATCGCTTATTCAGTCATTGCCAAATGAACTGAAAACCATGCAAACCAGAAGCATAAACCAGCAATACCAGAAGACAACAATCAACTTGGAACAAGTCGAAGATCTGTCAAAAGGAAACGATGCGAAGCTTGTTACATAAAATCGAAGAAGGACGCCAGAACAACCTTTACATGCGAAAAGTGTAATAGCTATATATGTTTTAAAAAACACGTTAAATCAATTTGTCAAAATTGTCTTGAAGGTAGTAGTGAAAGAGACGTGGATAATGAACTCAAATAACGTTTTCGAAATAAAATAAAGATATACAACAAATGTGTTCGTACCCATGTGTTTTACAAATTATTAAATGTTAACTTTGATTCAAGGTAAATATTAGTTGCCTTTTTATACCCTAATATTTTCATGTTTAAAATACTTTAATAAACCAACTTGCTGTAAAACAATTTAATATATAATTCAAAGTATGTATAATATAAAAATTGAGTCGCGTCTACCCAAGGGTTAAGAATCCAATTATTAATACATAATCATGTTTTATTGCTTCATTAAATAACATTTTTATGAAAATAAATGTATTATTCACATCCTGCATTAGCTGGCTAATCGAAAACTTAAGTTTGGTTTTGAAATGATCTCCATCTGGGAATCTTCCACAGGTTTCGGGGTGGGCAAAATAATGACGGAAATCACCATTTACTTTAGGGCATGGATCATTTAGGCATTTGTCTAGGCCATTTTCATAGTTACTTTCAAAGTTAGAACTAGAACTGGAACTACCAGAATCTTCTTCAACATTGTCATCACCGCTTTAAATTTTTCTTTATCGTCTTCATCCCATTTATTGCTGGCGCTGCTGCTACTTCCACTTCCACTACATCCTGCTTTATCTGGTCAATCACACCTTCCAATTCTTTGTTGAAATATAAATCAGGTAGGTAATCGAAATTGACGGGATTTCGCCAATCGCATATGTAAAAGACGGTATAATCTTCATGTCCTCAGGGCAATCATCAATTAGGTCGGCTTTGGCATATAGTAATGTATTAGACAAAGATGACACGTAACAAGAATGTAACTAAAATATAAAAAATAAAGTTACAGTTAAGTTTATTATTTTGAATTGTAATCAACTTACCTTTCATTTTGATATTTACTGTTAGCCAAATTGCTATGATAGAACAATTCTATATATCGTATTTTATGCAAAACGTTATACAGTGTGTCCGTAAAGTAGCGTATATAGGCGATAAAATCATTATAAATATTTATGTAAAAATGCCTGAAACGTGTCGGAAGATTTAAATTTTCTGCAATTTTTTGGTGTAGAATTTTAAATTTTTTCCGCCATTCTTAAATGAATGATTAGATCTGATGACGTCTGCGATATTTGTTTCAAACGACAATCGCCCATTTTTATTACGGAATATAAAAGAGGGTCTTCTTCTGAATCAAGTACAGCCAATATTAATATTGGTTACTGGTTACATAAGAATATTTTCGATAAAAATTATTTTAAAGTTTAACTACTACAAATTTGATTGACATAGTAAAAATAACAGTAGCCATGAGAAACTATGGTAACCAATTATTTTAAACAATTTCTTATGTGTTAAAAACTGATTTAGTATGTAGTTGACCTCTTTAATGCAAGATCCTAATCGCCAACTCATTATTCAAAGTATGGTAAGCCTAGCTGTGGCTAAATTGTGGCTAAATTTAAAAAGGATGGGCATCAAAAAGATTGCTCGAAGTCTGGCCGACCAAATGTTTCAGGAGAGGTTCATTAAAACGTGGTTTTCGCTGGGCAGAATAACCCTCATGTTACCATGTTACCCTCATTATTAACGGTTCACAAAATTTTAAAAACACCAAAATATCATACCTATAACGTAAATCTCATTCACGAGCAATGAGTCGTAGTTTTTACAACAACAATTTTGCAACGACGATGGAGACTTTGTACAAGTAAATAGACAAAATTGTCGGTATTGGGCTACCCAAAATCCACATTAGACAAGAAAGTCGCAAAGCAAATATCCGCAAAAAATCAATTTTAGAGCGAAATAGTACGGGATAAGGTTCTGGGTTCTTACCTTTTTAGGAAACCTTAACTGAAGAGCGATATTTACATTTTTTCAAAATGATATCATTCCTTTCATAACGGCCTCATCCCGATAATGTTGACCCAACTCAATTCCAACAAGATGCGTACCGCTAAACTTCGATAAGCTATACTAAATCAGTTTTTGACAATTGGGAAATTGTTTAAATATGTTAAAAAAATTTAAATCTTCAGACCCGTTTTAGGAATTTTTCCATAAACCGTTTATATTGATTTTATCGCCTATATCCGCTACTTTACGGACGCCTATACACATTTAGTTTGTTTAATTAATTTTAAATGAATGGGAACAAAGAACTCTTTAGAAAATTTATTTTGACATTGAAATCTTATCATATTATCATCATTAATTACTATTATTGGAATTATTAATTAATATTAGAAAATTTCATTGATTCTATTATTTCCTGTAACTCAAATTCCTATTTTTTATACTCAATATATATGTAACTAGTGGATTGATAGTAAAGATTAATATCTGTACCTATCAACACTAATTAATTGGCAATTATCAAAATAGTTATCTCCGATTTTTTTGCGGTTAACATTGCTATAAAATCAAATAGTACCTTCCTCAATTATTATTCGAATTGTTCGATTACAGCAATTTGGTTAAGCATCAAAATGAAAGGTAACTTTACAACGATTTTAATTTAATATACTTAGCTAAAACTTTATTTTTTATATTTTAGTTACATTCTTGTTATGTGCCACCTTTGTATTGGCTTTCCAATATGCCAAAGCCGACCCAGTTGGTGAATGCCCTGACACAATGAACCCGGAAAAAGTTGATTTCTTGGTAGATGATAACGATTGCACCGTCTTTTACAAATGCGATTGGGGAAAACCCGTCAAATTCGATTGCCCATCTGATTTACATTTCAACAAAGAATTGGAAGTCTGTGATTGGCCCGATAAAGCTGGATGCAACGGTGATGGTGGAGATGACGGTGGAAGTAGCAGCAGCAGTAGCAGTAGCGAAAGCGATGAAGGGGATGACGATGAAGAAGTAGTTGAAGGAGGAGATGACAATGTTGAAGAAGATTCCGGTAGCTCCAGCTCTAGTTCTAGCTCCGAAAGTGACGAAAGTGGCGATGGAAACGGTCAAGGCAAATGCCCAAATGATCCATGCCCAAAAGAAAATGGTGATTTCCCTCATTACTTTGCCCACCCTGAAATCTGTGGTAGATTCTGCCAATGCGATTGGGGAGTTGCCTATGATATGCCATGCCCAGATGGACTTCATTTCAACACCAAACTTAATGTTTGCGATTGGCCAGCTGATGCAGGATGCGAATAATTTATTTTATTTATAAAGAAGTTATGTTATTTAACGAAATATAAATAAAACATGATGATGTATTAATAATTTGCTTTTATTTATAATTATATCAAATATTCAAAGTAGAGACAAAGATATACTTAAAACTTTGTGGTTGTTTCGATGAGCTTTTTTTAAATATTGCTTTTTTAGTGCTAATTGATATTGTAGGGGTGGCGTTTTTGAACAACGTCATATTTAAAAATCTCTGGACCATCCCTTACAAGATTTACATACTCCTTGCCATTATTGATGGAATATCTATGCTCCATTAGACTTAATAAAAGTCCAAAATGGTTTAGACGGCGCAAAGAACGTAAATGTCAACACTCCCGATATATAAACTATTAACGGCATCGTTCAGGCGATCTCGTCTAAAAAATACACATGAAAACTTAAAGTTTAATTATATTGTTTATTATCTTGTTGCTATATAAATGCTTGCTTTGTTTCGCTGCAGCAAGAAGCTTCTTTCTAGCAAGACGATTCCATAAAAAAACAAATCGGTTTTATTTTGTCACATTTTTGCATTTAACTTCTTTATCAGTTTCAGTTGAATTTATCTTGACTCTTCCTGAATATCACTATAAAACTGTACGGATTCCTGTGACATTATTTATTAGCAGCAATCAAAAGGAAATTGCCATTTTTGACTTTGAACTTTCATCACCATCTACCTTTTCTGCTCTGTGTTGAACATAGGCCTAAACATAGGAATCCTGGTATTGTAGGATGCGAGTTTCAATTCCATTTGGTATTTAGGTATTGTTCTAGTCGAATTTTTATGACTCCATCAGGTGATCCTCCGTTTAGGGATGATAAATTGGTTCATAATTGGACAGATATTTGTTTCGACGTTTAATGTTATAGCTAGGGAAAAATGTACAATAAAGACAAATTAAACATACAGGATCAGTCAAAAAGTTATGACGAAACAAAGTTACTTTTTCTTTAATAGAACACTCTGTATATTGTTCCATATTTCAGTTCATCTTGAAATTCTAGACAAAATTCATGTTGCACATCATAAACCTAAACTAAACCGTTTTTCAGATATCGAACTTTTAAAAATGTATGAATTCGTCTAATTAATTATGTGATTTATTGTTGGGCGCAAATTATTCAAACGGAATGTATTTTTGAGATATGTTATGTATCTGCGTTGCTATGGAGATGAGAAATATTCAAAGATAAGTTAATGAACTATTATCTTCATATTTAATTATTTATACAATAAAATGATCATATACAAAGTGATAGCTTTTATTTAATTTTTGTCTTGACCGGTTTCGGTAATTAAATTACCATCTTCAGAAGATACGTCAAATTATTACTTAAAAGTTAAAACAAATACCACACATCTTTATACGAACACAATGACTTAACATCTCATTTCTTAAAATAAAATAACAAAAGTACTATTTCGAGAATATATAAAATTGTTTTTCAAGTAGAATATAGAAAAGGAAGAGTAGTGTTAAAGATTTTTAAAAAACAATACTATATTCTACTTGAAAAACAAGTTTATATATTCTCAAAATAGTACTTGTGTTATTTTATTTTAAGAAATGAGATGTTAAGTCATTGTGTTCGTATAAAGATGTGTGGTATTTATTTTAACTTTTAAGTAATAATTTGACGTGTCTTCTGAAGATGGTAATTTAATTACCGAAATCGGTCAAGACAAAAATTAAATAAAAGATATCACTTTGTATATTTATGATCATTTTATTGTATAAATTATTATCTTCATGTCGACTACAATATTCTTGTGTATTTATGTGTAAAAAAAAGACTGTTCAATATCGCAAAAACGGTTAAGTTTAGGTTTAGGATGTCCTATATGAATCTTGTTTAGAATTTCGATGTGAACTGAAATATAGAATAATATGCCTACAGGATGTTCTATTGAAGAAAATCCAACTTTGTTTCATCATTAAGTTTTGATTCACCCTGTATGTTTTTAATTTCCCTTTATTGTAATAGATTTAAAAAAACACTAAACCTTTTGTGTCTTAACATTTTTCGCTGGCTATCTTACTTTAGAAAATAACCTACTGTTTTATACATATCAGCGACCTGTATACAGGGTGGTTCAGTTTTTAATCGGGAAACTTTACTAGGACTTGCCAACATAACACCAGTTTTTTATATAAACTAAACTGCTATGAGCTGCCAAAGTTGAGCCAAAAATTTACGGCCTCTAAGGGGATGAAATTCACCACCCCTTGATTTTTTATAAGAACTTTTTAATGATATGGAATATTAACATAAAAATATATGGGTTGTAAAGCTTAGTGGTGTTTTTTTCTCTCTTTAGTATTTTCCTTAAAGTTAATAGTTTCCGTGTAGCTTAGAAGTTAACAGCTTTACAATGGATATTTTTTATGTTATTATTTCATGGCGTTAAAAAGTTGTTTAACAAAATCAAAGGGGTTGTGAATTTCATCCCTTTAGACGGCGCTAGGGAAGTTTAAGGTATGGTTAAAAATAAGATATTAACCAGTAGTACATAAATACAGAATTTCAAATTCTACGGTTTGCTTATACCCGAAATAAAAAATAAAATGTAAATTTTTGGCTCAACTTAGACAGCTCATAGCTCGAAAATAAAAGAGTTGCGACCCTATGTTTATATAAAAAACTTGTGTTAGTTTGGCATGTACTATGTCCTACTAAAGTTTCCCGATTAAAAACTGAACCACCCTGTGTATACTGACTTCCATAAAAATTGCAACACCTAGAATTTGTTCAACGATTTTATTGAAATCTTCGTCAAGAATGTCTTTCATTAGAACAAACAACCGATTAAAATTTGAATAAAATAGTTCAATAAATTCTAGGTGTTGTAATTTTTATGGAAGTCGGTATAATTATAAACAAAATCAAATGATTAATGCATCATGATATTTTATTTATTTATTAGACAGCCAAAGAATTAACATTTGTATGAAAGTAAATGTATTATTCACAGCCTGCATCAGCTGGCCAATCACAAACATTGAGTTTAGTGTTGAAATGGAGTCCATCTGGGCACGGCATATCATAGGCAACTCCCCAGTCACATTGGCAGAATCTGCCACAAGTTTCAGGGTGGGCAAAGTAATGAGGGAAATCACCATTTTCTTTTGGGCATGGATCATTTGGGCATCTGCCTTGACCGTTTCCATCGCCACTTTCGTCACTTTCGGAGCTAGAACTAGAGCTGGAGCTACCGGAATCTTCTTCGACATTGCCATCTCCTCCCTCAACTTCTTCTTCTTCATCACCTCCATCAACTACTTCTTCATCGTCATCCCCTTCATTGCTTTCGCTGCTGCTACTGCTGCTGCTGCTTCCACTGTCATTTCCACTGTCGTCTCCACCATCACCGTTGCATCCAGCTTTATCTGGCCAATCACAGACTTCCAATTCTTTGTTGAAATGTAAATCAGATGGGCAATCGAATTTGACGGGTTTTCCCCAATCGCATTTGTAAAAGACGGTGCAATCTTTATCATCTACCAAGAAATCAACTTTATCCGGATTCATGGCGTCAGGGCATTCACCAACTGGGTCGGCTTTGGCATATTGGAAAGCCAATACAAAGGTGGCACATAACAAGAATGTAGCTAAAATATAAAATATAAAGTTATAACTAAGCTTATTATATTGAAATTGTTATGGACTCACCTTTCATTTTGATATTTAGTCAAATTGCTGTGATGAAACAATTCGAATAATAATTTAAGTATGCGGCGGCCCTATTTTATAGCATAAATAAAAAAAAATGCCGATAATTTAATTATAAAGAACAAATTACTATAATTGCTAATTAATTAGTGTTTATAAAAGCGAGATAATTAATAATAGCCACTAGATATTAATCTATTGCTACCAACACAATAGTTCAATACATATAGTGTATACAAAGTTCATACAAAAAATATTAATGGTTATCGATCAATGAAACCGGATATAATATGATTTTTTTTCGCTTTGATGCAAGAGGCATACGTGCATCACTTGAAAATACATTTTTAAATAAAACATTTGAGTTATTATATTCTTCTTCCATGGACCTTTTAGTTGGCCTATTAGTTAATTCCAAGTTTGGAACAATCCAAAAAGTTCGTAGATATCGTGGAATCATTGTTTACCTTTCCATTATTTCTCAAAATGATGTTGGCAGCCAAATACAAAAGAATTACTTTATAAAAACGGCGATATTTCTTAAACAAAAGTCGATATGAAATATGGAACTCAATACAAAACTTTTTGGTGCTGTAAGCGAACGTGTGAGGTTAGGTTAGAGCATCTTATAATTTGAGTAACTTCTATCGAAGTATATTAATAAACAGCAAGTAAGAGGTTATTTTTGATTTTTCATTAATTACATACACCTTGCAACATGGATAATTGCAACTTTGAAATACTTTGAGGTTATAAAGAAATATTTGAGATTAAGTTTATCCAAATTATAAGTTTCCAGGACGGTTAATTTATTTTATATAAAATTTAAAAAAATTCTTGTTGAGTTTGACGCATCTCGAGAATGTATTTAAAGTCAAAAATTATTCTCTCCTAAACAATTAGGAATTAAGAAGGTTTGCCCACTATCCTGAATAGGGAATTTTAAAAATCGCCAATTTAATTTTATGCTTGCTGATAGTGTGGTTACAAGAAAAATGTTTGCTATCCAACTTGTATAAAAAGAGTACGCTTTAAAACAATTTATTCTATATCATCTTCTTCTTCTCCTGATTCTTATGCCTGATGGCGTCGGATAAACCTTTTTCCTAATCCTCCATCCACCTCTTACACTAATTCCTGGCTAACTCCTTTATATCTTTTAGAGTCTTCCCTCTCTTCTTCCCAACTTCTGCTATTCTTTCCTCCCACTTCTTGCTAGGTCTTCCCCTCTTTTTCTTATCCATATTCTTTGCTTCAAATACTTTTTTACTATTGTGTTATGTTCTATTCTAATTATGTGGGAGTACCAGTTTAGTTGCTTTCTCTCTATTTTGCTGATTACCTCCTCTTGAACTACTCTCAGTCTTATTTCATCA